GGTGTTTTTTTGGTTCTAAAGAGAAACCCCAAAAATTAGGGGGGGGTTTTGGGGGTTTTTTTTTTTTTTTTTTTTTTTTGTGTGCGTGTGTTTTGTTTTGGGTTTACTGCAGAAACGCTGCCCCGCGTGAAGCGGCGTTCCCAGCCCTCTGCCGAGCATGGGAGAATGAGCCCCTCCGGCCCGCGCGGAGGGGGCGGCTGGGCGAGGGATTCCATGCTTTTCCGTTAGGTCACTTGGAGATTGTGCCTGGAACAAAAAGGTCTTTTTACTGGTATTGTGTGCACTCAAATGCACCTTTCCCCTGGAGATTCTTGATTAGGGCTTCTGTTGCCCCCGGGCTATTTATCCTGCTAAAAATTAAGATTTATACGCCCCTCGTGTATCGGCTTAAAGGCATATCCGAGAGACGCAATAGTATATTTAATGCGTTTTAGTGTGTCCCTCTCACCTTTTCCATGAATAGGAGAGTGTTAACCCTTTGCCCTTTTACATTTCCCACCTCCCCACTGCCTGGAAGGGTTTCCAGGCCTCTGAAGTAGTCATTGTTCCCAGCTCAGCCCCTTTGTAGCGCGTTGCCAGCACGGCGGAGCGCTTCGGCAGCACTGTATCTCGGGCACTGTACGTTTCTGCTACTTGATTTTGGGGCGCTCTTTGTCCCAGTGTTAGAATAAAAGCTCCGTAGCTCCCTGGACCCGACGCGGTGTTGGCGCGCTCAGGAAGGGTTGTTACCAACACCAAACACTTAATGAATTCTCCGTCGGGCCGTGTGGGATTTTAACGAACGCGTTCGCTTGTTTCTCTTTGATTTTGATTTTTTTGTAATTCCTCTCTGCAGGCAAAGAAGAGGAAAAGAGCAGAACGCTTTGGGATCGTCTGATGCTGGTCCTTCTTGGCCTCAGCCCATTTGCAGTGTGCCTCTCGAGTGCGTGCATACTTTCTCTCTCTTTCCCCCACTTTCTCTCACTCCCACACTGTTTCTCTAGGTTTTAGTGATGAGTAGACAGGGAATCCCCCGTAGTTGTATGATTGTGCTACTTATTTTTTCACGTTACGAAGTTTAAAAATGAAGAAAGGTTGAGCAAAAAGAAGCTGTTCTGGGTGCATCTCCGGTCGCCTGCGGTCCGGTGGTTTCCCAGCTGCTGGTGGGGTCGTTGGCAGCAGCTCGCACCGGAGGTACCGTCCGGCGGGGAGAGACGGAGCGCGTCCCGGTGCCCTCCCAGTGCCGCTGGCGAATGCCTGCGCAGGGGAGAGTCAAGCTCTGCCCGGTAAATAGGCGGGCAGGTAGAGCAGGGGTAGGAGCGCAGCGTCTGCTGTGCGATGAGGAGGGGAAGGCACTGAGGAACGGGAGAGCGGGGTCTGCTCTGCCCTCGGCAGCTGCTTTTCTGGTTTAGGGACTCCTGGTACGCTGCTAAAGCAAGGGCCGGTTTGAAGCGTCTTGTCTCTTTGCCGTCCGATGCCGTCTCCAGCTCTGGGACTGCCCTGGTCCTCTCCTCCTCCACCCGGGGAAGCGGGCCCCGAGGTTCAGCTGCGTCCTGGTCTCTTCCCAGCAGCTGGGACGAGAACGCGCCTCGGCTCGAGAGCACGATGCGTTACGCCAGTCCCACTCTGGATCTCTCGCCCAAGATCTGACAGGTCGAACGTCAGGGAGGGATTTTCTCAATTATATTGTCTCCTGTTTCCAACAACGGAAGCGGCGTGTGCGATAGCCGACACGCGGGGCAGTTCCACGACTGCCTGCCTTCCCCGGCTGAGGCTAATGGGAATTGTCAGAGCAAGAATTGCCGATTAACCCTAGATCAAGACCGGTGTCCTAAAACGAGGAGGCAAACATAGCAATGCATTCGCAAATGGAGCCTGTTCTCACCGCTTCATTTATCCCGCCTTGTTAAGCCCTCTGCCGCTCCTGGCGTTTCACCGACGTTTTCAGGTTCCTCGAAGGCCAGTGATGCGTTTTTCTCCTTAAACGACAAACCCGTGGAGTCGCTTTGTCCCGTGTGTGTTCTCAGGCTGGGTTTTATCTTGTCCTCTCTTTGCCTCAGAGCAGCTGCCAAGCTGGTTTAACTCGCAGACTTGCCGAAGAAGCCTCAGTCTTCTCCGAGCTGCCAGGCGGTGCGGGAGAGCGCCGGCCTTACCCCGGGACCTGTGTTTTGAGCGTGGAAGTTCTTGGTGTGCAGGAACACGGTTCCTTCTGCTGCGGTATCCGTAACCCTTTTGGTGAAATTACGGAAAAAATTTGGCCGAGGCACGTGAAAGGCAGCGCTGCCGCAGCGCGTGAAGCGCTTCTCGCTGCTCTAGCGTTTCGGACGGCACCTTTGTTCTTGGGGAGCTGTAAAGAGCGATTCCCCGGGGTGGCTTGTGTGGGTGGAAGAAGCGGTGGCAGCGGAGAAGCAAAGGACCCGGCAGCGCCGGGGCAGAGAGGAGCTGCCCGGTGCCCTTCCCTCCTTTGCCTGCCCGGAGAATTGGTTTCCCTCGCAAGCGTTGCTTCCCGCTGCCTCTCCCGCCCCGCAGAGCTCTCCCTCCCGCAGACACCTCGGCCCCAGGCGCCAGCAGAACTCTCTCCGTCTGCTTGGATTTTGAGGTGGGCGTCGTGGCTGAAACCCTTCTCGTGGCTGAGGCCCGACCTCCTAGGATTCTTATTTCTGGCCGTAACCTCGTACCGGAGAGGTGTTTGCCTTGCCCGTGCTTGGTTCCTTGAGGTGCTAGAGAGCAGCGGGTGTGCGTACAAATGGAGCTTTTCAGAGGCTTATACCTGGTTCTTAATAAGCAATATATATATATTTTTTAACGTAGAAGTCTTCAAACCGCTTCTGTTCCATTCACGTTCGCAGTCTGCCTGCGGCCGCGCGCCCTCGGTGACTCTAAGCAATACCTTGGACGTCCGTTCGCTTTCCCAACGGGCAGCTGAAAGCCACGGGGCCCAGGTCCGTTCTGTGTCGCGGGTTGCCAGGCCCCGAGTGAGTCAAAGCTCCCTTGCTCCTTCCTGATTTAATTTTAATGTAATAATTTTTTTTTGTTTTTTTTTTTTTTTTTTTTGTATGTTGGATTTTTGTAAGATGTATTTTCTATTTGGCTCATGATCTTTTTGCTGGTTATTCGCTTGAAATGTTTTGTAGTGTGCCAGGGCAAACACTGCATTTCATTCTCGGTTTCATAATAAAACTGCTTCTCCAAGGCAATTCTGGTATCTGTCAGTTTGATGCATGGCGCGGCCGAGGCTCGGGGCCGGAGCGTGCCGCCGGGAGGGAGCCGGAGCAGATGGAGCCTCGGCCAGCGCCGCTCCTGCCTGCGCGGGGGCGGCGGGGGGCAGAGATCCTGCCTGGCCGGGCCGTCGCCAGCAGTTAGGGGTTGTCCTGACGTTACCTTCGTGTGGCCTGGCCAAAGTCCTAACCCCCCCTTGCCTCTCCAGATCGACCTCGCCGCTTCCCTCGGATGCAAACCTCGCTTCCCGCTGACCTCGGGGAGCGGCGCAGGCTCCTGGCAGCTGGGACCCAGCCGTAACCCAGATCGGGACGACGTACGAGTAACGGGGCGGTCGCCGCTTCTCGCAGCTGAGGGTTCGGCGCCGTAGACCAAGGGCCCTTGCAGGACGTGGGAGGCAGCACAGGCGCCTCTCGGCTTCGCTCTCCACTCGCTTCAGGTCCCTCTGTCGGAGCTTGGGGTTACGGGGACAAGCCGGGGACGGCCGTGGCGTGAGGGGCTGCGGGTCGGCGGCGGCTGGATCCTGAGCGTGGAGGGCGAGGAGGCGCCGTGGGCTGCGCTGCCCGTCTCCTGTTGATGACGGCACGTGGGACTCCGATGGTGGGATGCCGTCGCCTTCCCCCGAGCCCAGGGCAGAACCGAGGACTCCCGATTTCGCCGCCGGCTCTGTTCTCTGGCCCGGGGACCAGCGCGGTGGGGAGCTCCCAGCCCCGCTTGTGCCCTGCCCGGCCGCGCGTCCTCCTCCCTGGGTCGCTCTCCTCTGCTCCCGGGCTCCCGGTGGCGTTCCTGCCCCGGCCGATCTCCTCCCGGGGCCGGTGAAGCGACGTGCGCGTCTTCTCCCCCTCCCTCCCTCGCGCCGTCTCCTCCCCTCGCCTTGGGGATGAGTTTCCCTTGGCCGTGGTACCAAAATGGGGCCGAGCTCCGCGCCCTGCTCCCCGCAGCGATGTGCCGGCGTCCCCAGCCCGTGCGGGCAGCGCTGCCCTGGCTCTGCTGCCCCCAGCTCCCGGGGCGGCGCTGGGGCTGTTTTGTAGAGGCCGCTGCCTCCTTCACCCGCCGGGCTTTCCCCTCCTGGGCGCAGGGGAGAATCGTTCCAACCACACTGTGTTTAAAACACCACCTAATTTATTTTTCCTCTCCGAGCCGGGGGCTGCTCGTGACTAATTTGGGCTGAATAGGGGAAGAAAAAAAGCAGCGGGCACACAATGAGCGGGGGAAAGTGTGGGAAAGCGAGCGAAAGAAAAGGAGGGCCGGGGCTTGCAGCGTGAGAGCTGGTAACGCCGAGCGGTGCCCAAATTCAGCATGAAGTCACTTTTCACAGCAGACGCTTGGGCTGTAAATGCGAGTGGGACGATAGGTCAGGCCGGGGGGACGGGAGGCAGAACCGGGGGTTTGCACAATGGGGCGAGGAGCGAGGTGCGCGGCGGGAGGGACGTGTGCTCCGGTGCCAACGTCTCCCTTCTTCCAGCTGCGCCGTCCTCTCCCGACGGCCTCTCGTCCCCGCGTCCTCCGTGGGTGGGTCGGAAACGTTGTGTGTTCAAATTCGCAAAAATGGGGAGGCGAAAGAGCGGAGCCTGGAAGGGTGGGTGAGCCTGAGGAGGGACGGCACCGCGGCCCAGCTCCCAGCCGCTGCCCTCCGCCTGTGCCGGCGCCGATGAGCGTGCCCGCGGCCCCCCCCGGCTCTGTGCCGCCATTCCGGGAGCTGGGACCGCGCTGCAGGGTCTGGGCAGGATCCGGGATGCGCTGGGTCCCCTGCGGGGCTCCGTGGGGGCTGAAGGGGGGTTTCCATCGCAGGAGGTGGCCCTGGGCCGCTGCCTTCTCCTCCTCTCTCCAGACTCACCGCCCTCCTGCATCTCCCCGAGGAGCCTGGGCGCTGACCTTCCTCAGCTGGTTGCCCCCGTCCCGCAGGGCCTTTCCCCAGCGGCGGGAAGCAGGAGCCATGGCCGGTCGCTGCCTCCGTCCCCTCGAATCCTTCCTTCCAGCCCGGGCGCCGCTGCAGCCGGGGAGGAGGTGGCTCCGTAAGGGGTGCGCTCGCTGGGGGACGGGGAATTGGGGTGCCCCAAGTCCTGCTTGGGAGCATCCTGCTGCCCGGAGCCCGGGGTGGTTTGGGGATCTTCGGGATCGCATCAAAATCCCGTTCCCGCTGCAGGTTGGAAGTCGAGTGGCGGCGCTGCCGCGGGGCCGAGCCA